TTATTAGAATAAAGTAAATATGGGAATGAACCCAGCTTGATTTCGTCTCAGCATGTGGGCTTTTTTTTTTTTTTCTAAACACCTTCACAAGGAAAGGGAAGAATTTTGTTTGCAATGTTGTCACAAAGGAAAAAGTATAAATCTGCCAAAACCAATAAGCTGTCTTGTAATGTGTGCTTATTAGAATAAAGTAAATATGGGAATGAACCCAGCTTGATTTCATTAGTATGCATTTGCAATAACAGCAACAACAGCAGCAAAAAGCAGCCAAGATTTTTAGAGGAAGTGGTAAGAAAACGGGGTGATAAATGAAGAACTAAAGATTATTTTTTCTAGAAAGGAAAAAAGACTCCAAAAGAGAGGGAAAAAATAAAAGAACATATAAAGTTCGAAAAAAATGAAATGCAAATATGATACTGGGGCAAAAGGGAGGGAGGGGATGGAAAAGGATAAAAAATCTAGTCTAATCACCTACCAATCCATTTTTTAATTTATGAATTCACTCATCCATCTTAATCTCATCACCATATCACATCTGAGTGCCTAAAGGCCAGAAAGGGTTTAATTTCACACCTCCTCCCCAACAGACAACGGAGGGATGATGATATCAAATCATTATTCCTGTTTAACAGTTTGCCACTGCTTTTCCTGTGATAGCGAAAAAACTGATCTGCAATGGAGCGTTCAGTGCGTGGATCTCAGTTCAGCAATATCTGCTTTCGGAAGGATGCACCATTGCCCTGGGTTGTTTACCTGCACTGTGAAAAGACACCAGCCAAAGTAGATGGCATGGATCTGTGCAACTTCTCCTCGCTTCTCTCCCTTCTCAAAAGCCCATCTAAATCACACTGTAGACACCATCTGTACTGATGCTTTGTTTTCTAAGAAAATGTCGTCCCTGTCTTTTCACACGCAGATAGGCTGAATACTAGTGTGGCCTCTCAGGATGGAGATGAGCAAAGTTTTAGGAATGAGATAAGACCCTCTGGCCTCTGAAATGTTTATGAGTTTCAGGAACTCTTGTTTTAAGATTGCCCATGATCTTTTCCATCGTACCTTGCCCAATAATTGGTATTCAATATGATTACTTTGGCCAACATAATGTTCTTTTGAGTCATTGCAAAAGCAGAGGCCTTGGGAAGGAGAAATGGTAGTTTTAAAATAATGAAGCATTCAGCTAAAAAGTTATATTAACATGCAGCTAATTTATATTTTTAATATTCACGGATAGTCAAAACCAGTTGCACATTCATTCAGAAACCAAATGGGTTGGTTTTTTTTTTCTTTTTTTTCCTTTTTTTTTCTTTTCTTTTTAATAAACCTTAAGTCCCATGTTTCTATGAAGGGTTTGTCTGACAGATTCATGAACAGTATTATTTATACACCTAACTAAGCTCCAATGACCTCCCATGCAGACGTCCTCAAACAAGAAACAAACAGGATAAGAAATATTGAGGGGAAGAGGGATTAGCTTTGAGAAGTATTTCATAACATTGAAGAAACTGTCCTTGTGATATTAATGAAATGAAGGCTGAGCATTACAATAAGGAAGACAATAAATAAATAGAGATAAAACTAATCCCAGGTTATAATCCTATTATAAATTCTTCCAGAAGGTAGAACTTTTCTCCAGACCTTGCAGGAAGGTGGGAAGTCATATTTCAAGAAAAGATAGGTACAGTGTGGCATCTTCATTGACACATTTTATTGTTGAGATTAACCAAAATTAATCAGAATAAATTAGCACCATGGTGCTGTCAGATGCAAAGAAGGTCAAAGGCTTCATGATCACTGCTAGAAAACTGGCAACAGAGAAAATTAGAGCTTTAGTGGCATTTACAAGAACATCTGTTCTGGGATCCCTGGCGCTAGCAGTTTTTCCTTGTGTATCTCTGCAGAGAGGTAATTAGCACCATGGAGGACACAAAAATATCAGAAAGAAGAAGGAAGACTCCATGGTTAGCAGAAGAGAGATATTAATATTAGAGATATCAGAGTTTATATCCACCACCCAGCTGCTGACCAAATGGTCAGGTACAGCCTGTGATTAATCCAGGCAAAAGGAAAGACATGACAAAGCAGACCAGCAGTTGAAACCCAGAACGTCTGTGGTAGCTCTCCTTTCTGATTCACATGCTAGAAGACTGGTAGGGAGAAAATTGCCAGCTTCATGAAGATGCTACTGAGATTGCAATCAGAAGTCCCTTAATTTCTGCACAACAAAATACTGCTTTTCCTGGAAAGACAACTGTGATGAATTCTGACCTAGAAAAGCAAGCACTGTGGCATTAAAAAAAGAAAAAGTTGGAGGAGAGAAGGCTTGGTTTTCATGTAGTCGGTATGAACAACTGCACTAATCACCTTTTTCATCATCCTTACAATGGTCTTGGTGCTGCCATAGCTACTGCCTTATATGAACTGCAGATGGTATTTTCCCATCCATGTTGTCTACATTTCATGTCATTTGCAAAGTTCCATGGAATTGTACTGGTGAACCGAGTCTTATTATTAATCACCATATAAACACTTCTTAGACAATGAAATCTCAACAATGTTATTTTTAAATTTTTTGTGTAAAAATAGTAATTGCCAAAACATTCATCAGATTTATTTATCTGCTTTGTGGCATAAACTAGATATAGAAACAAGCCTGCTATAATTTGGTGCATGATATTTCGTTATAAAATAATATTCAGAAAGCTTTTTTTTTAAAATGTACCAGAAAAAGAAGTCTAGATCTGCAGAGAATACAAATAATGATTTTAGGAAGGGAAAGGTTGAAATCCAAAGAGCAGGGCAAGATCAGAAAATAAATGGGAAACTGTATCTACTGTGGAAGAAGACATGAAAATAAATTGAATCTTGGGGGAAAGTTGGAAAGATAAAGGACAAAAGTAATAATTTATTTACCAATTCAGTCATTTAAAATTCTAATTTATGTACCTATCTATCCCACTCTATGCTGTGTGTAACAAAACTTTCATCAATACAATATAAAGACATCAAGTGCTTGAGCTTTGTCCTCCTTTCCCCTGCAAGCAGTGAAGGATATTTTATTAATCACTGCACCTGCTTCAGATCTCCCCCTCCTGAAGATGAGGAGGCAGTGAAAAAGCTGAGCAGGGGTCATTATTTCCATACTTGGCTCTGATCCCTTTCCTTCAGACTGCCACCAGAAATGGGTTTGGAGACACCTAAAGAGAAGTGAGCTCTATGGGGAAATTAATTTTACCAGAGCTTCTTGATCAGGTTAAAATAAAACAAACACCATTACCGCCAAAAAAAAAAAACAACAAACCCAACAAACAACAAACCCACCAAAGAATCCCTCATTTCTTTCAGGAAGCTTTCTTTTCATGATGTTGCCAGGTGGAAAAAGGATCAAAAAAGCTATCGCTGTGTGACTCTTCTAATCTTGGTCCATGTTGGCAGGGCATGCAGCTGCAGAGCAAGGTGGTGCTGCAGCGTGAGCAGGGCAGTTCCCATCTGCTTCCCTGCAGAACTACACAGGCAGGGCTCTCGAGGGACTTTTGGGTCTCTCTTGATGTAGCACGCACAGCACTGGACATGACGGTAGTCTTAGTTTTACAGTACGCTGTACTGTGCCTCCAAACTCTGTGCTGATGAATCTAATAGTCTTCCTTTCCTGCTATGCAATTTGACCCCACTGTTTACACATACTAATAATCATATCACTTCATACGCATGCATTTATGCCTCCTATTAACATATATGTCATTGTAAACAGTATTTTAAGATACCAGTTAAAAACATTATATTCACTCTTTGTCTAATATTGTTAAATAGTGATTTCAAAACATTTTACTCCAATGTTTCAAACACTGAAGCCGACACACTCCAACACTAAGTGAATCACCCTCTTCATTAGTTTTATAGATGAGACTGAAACTCTCACCATAGTGATTTATAATCTAGCATTATCTAAATGCCTGCAGAGAGGATATACAGCATAAAAATACTTGAGCTGAGCTGAGAATTTCAGAGTAGAATCATCTAACACATTATTTGATAAAACATGACAGGATTTGTTGAAGAACATATTTCATCAACTGCATGTAAAACTTCATACTAGCATAAAATATTATAAGAGAACAACCTTATAAACAACTCACAACTACTCAAAGCAACAGCAAATCATGTAAAAAGGCAAATTTGTGATCAGAACAGTCAACTCAACAAGAAGATTTTCTACAGTGGACAGGTAGATCTATGTACCCACAACTGTTTATATTGTAATCACCACCTTCACAAACCACTTTAAAGAAAACAAAATGAATGAGCATAAAATATGTTTTGAGAAAAAGGATCTGTTTTAAAGAGGTATTTAACCACTAAATTGTTATATACGTACTGGAATCCTAACACAAATAAATCTGATTCAGAATATAATTTGATTACTTTAATTGGCTGTATGTTTCCATATCTTAAATTTCCCTCAGGTTATCATTTAGGTAATTTTTCATGTTTTGAAGCATATTTTGTTTGTATCTCACACCAGCTATGGCTTGTACAGCATGTGTTTCATCAAATTTTAAGCTTCTCAGGTGAAAGATCCTTTAGCAGAGAACTGATATTTGTAAGCTCTGTAAATTTTGTTTGGTTTAGCCCCATTTTCTTCAATTCAAATGTATCATAAAACTCAGTCTTTGTGCTGGTTTTGGCTGGGATAGAGTTAATTTTCTACGTAGTAGCTGAGAATCTGAAATCACAAAGCATCCTGTACTTGATTCATTATTTAAGTGCATTGTTTCCTTTCAGTGCATTCGTATTCTCACTCTTTATTAAATAAGATTGAGGGAGCAAGACTGGTGTAGAAAAAAAGGTAAAAATGCATGTTAATTCAGATGTTCTCAAATGGTAAGGAGGCCTAATCACAGAAATCTCTGAAAGATGAAAGTTACTAAGAAAAAAGACAATGAAACAGTAAATGCATAGAAGTCTTGATTCCAGATCTGTTACTTCAGAGTGTTTCTCTTAAGCTATAATATGAGGCATAAAGTCATATTTTCCAAATGGCACTTAAGATGCTGGCAAAGCATCCTGAATGCCAATTTCAGTTTTGAATTGATTATGATCAGGATAATAGAGTGTATGGAAGGATATGCCCCAGCTGCAGCTAAGGATACTGCACCTTTCACAACATCTGTAGTTTGAGAAGTTGACAATATCAACAGAATTTGAGCTACAAAACTGGAAAGGTACAGGATCAAGAAAGAAATAATGGATTTAATGGCAGTTAGGTGAACAACTATCAAAGGATCCCTGAACGTAACTACATAACATTGCATCTTCTTTGTGTGTTTCCATAGAGAAGTAACTAATAGGGCTGAGGTTACCATGGATAGTACTAGGATCTAGTGTTGGTCACATATATGGGATCAAAAGATGACAGTAACCACTTGTGTAATGGGGGGAGCAGTGACAACAGGCTAGTGAAGCAGAGCAGTTGATCTAGCAGAACCCTGTTAAAAGTCCCACCTTCTCCAGCTGCTTTCACTGTCCCGGCCTCTATCCCACCCGCATGCTCCAAAGCAGTTTCTTCCTCTAGACCGTAAATCTAGACCTGTTCTGCTTTCTGGAGTGAAAGTCTGTCATCCATCTGCATATCTATGTCAGCTTTGGCTAGATGCTGTAATGAGCATAGTAGTCCAGAACAGTGTGGGGCCCACTAATCTGCATCCTGCATTAGTGATTATTTATAAAGAAATATGTCTGGATTTACAGAACAATGTGTCCTCACCTTCTCAACCCCAGGCCCATTAATGCAATCTGTGAATACAGTATTGGCACATTAATATTGCCAATATATTCTTTCTTGAATTAGAGAAATACAAAACAAAAAGTGAAGAGTTTTACAACAGGATAAGAAGCAACTGAGATCATTTAGCCAATGGAAAAAGACTGGGAGTTCTTTAGCAGTAAAATATTTATTGTTTCTGTGGGAAGGTTGACATATATTTCTGGAGTCCATTTCTCAACAGAGTAAAATCACTAAAAGTAAAAGGTAGGCCAAGCTTCTAATCTGAATGTGGTAAAAACTGCCAATTGGATTAACTGTTTACCATTACATCCAGGCTTCAAAGTTTTGTTGAATTGTTCAGCAGAGAAAAAGTTAACTTAGATTGGTATCGGTACATTTCTTCATTAACTTAGTGAAATGAAATTTAAAATCTTGATAGCTTTTGTTTCTGTCAATACTTCATTCGTATTAAATTTACCTTTCAGTTGAGGTTCTAGTAATCACAAGGACTAGTAGCTTTTTTTCTTAAAAAGTGAGCATACTTTATTCATCGCAACAATGTAAATTTAACAAAAAAATTGAGACACATTTACAAAACATTGTATATCTGTTCCAGATTTTAAAAAGCCCAAGGGAAAAAACAAACAAACATACAAATCTAAACTAAAACTGCATTGGCATGTTTACTTTTTCTATCACGTTCCTCACCAAAAGTATTCAAAATAGTGGAAAAATCACATCTCACTAAGGAAAAAAATTATAAAGGAAGTGTAACTCAATGCCTACAGTGTATTTTAAAGTTATATGCATAAAGCTTCCTGTACACAAAATATGCATTATATAATTATGGTAGTCAGTTTACCTCAAAAATGTAGTCATTAAGTAAGTTACTCAAGGGAACATGAAAATAACACTTTATTTTTATGCACTTATAAAAAACAGCACTGCAATTATAAAGTAGAAGAAACTACTGTGGAAGATACAATCTAGAAAAATGCATGACTAAAATGGATTCTTAGCTGTTCCAACAAACAGTTACAAAATTCTATTCTATCTTCATATACACTATCAAAACAGGGAATTTTAAAGAAAACCATTTCTAATCTTTACCTACCCATTTCGTTTTCCTCTAAGCAGGGCAAAATGGGAATAACTACTTGAGACACAAAAGAACATTCCTGCCTTGAGGACTCCCACCAGTTCCTCAAGAAAGAAGCCATCACACAGCCTGTGCACCCTGGTAGTGTTTAAGTCTTCATGACTCAGGTAAACCAAATAGCCTGTCCCTCAGTGCTCTGTCAGTGACCTATGCCTAACATGCTCTGCTCCCAGGAATGGCTTCTATATAAATATTTCTCTTGCTTTTTTCTCCTAGTAGCTCAAGAGCTTCCTGGTGGACTGTACTGGTACTGACATCTTCAGAGGTTCTCCAGAGGATAATGAGTTTATTCATGGATGCTGTGACACATACCTGCAAGCACCAAGATACAAAAGGCCAGTTTATGAGTAACAGCAACCAGGACATGACCACATCTGATGCTGGCTCCAATTTAGCCCCAGACAGAGTAACCAGGTTGTCCACTGGAGTTCATCATAGTCTCACCTTCTGGTATGCAGCTCCTTGAATTCTCTTGTTCCCCTTTTTGCCCTTTCCTAACCTCAGAATTTAGTTGCAACATGTTTTTGCAGAAAGCTGAGTGAGGATACTGAAGGGCGGTGGCTGTCTGAGCATCCCATATAAGTGAACCATGGCTATAGGGCACGTACATTGCAGATAAGTCAGACCAGAAGGTTTTTATTGAGTGCCACAAATATGTGTGCTTTAAGTGTCATGCCCAATATGCCGAGCTGTGGTGACAGTGTAAAATGAGACAAGAATGGGTCACTGTGTAAATGTGCATAGCACCTTTCAGTCTGGGAACCTTCTCTGAGGAAATCCTTGACAGCAACCTGAGGGAGATGTAGAAGTGATCTCATGGATTATCCACACAGTGCTGGAAAGAAAAAAAAAAAGACTACAAGGTATGTTGTTTCCTCTCCATTCTAAGAAGTCTAAAAAACTCCCAATTATTATAGTTGCAGATAAGTCAGACCAGAAGGTTTTTATTGAGTGCCACAAATATGTGTGCTTTAAGTGTCATGCCCAATATGCCGAGCTGTGGTGACAGTGTAAAATGAGACAAGAATGGGTCACTGTGTAAATGTGCATAGCACCTTTCAGTCTGGGAACCTTCTCTGAGGAAATCCTTGACAGCAACCTGAGGGAGATGTAGAAGTGATCTCATGGATTATCCACACAGTGCTGGAAAAAAAAAAAAAAAAAAGACTACAAGGTATGTTGTTTCGTCTCCATTCTAAGAAGTCTAAAATTCCCAAATTTATTATAGTGATTTACAAATGCACAGATTTGGAGGTGAATGGGGTGTATAGTTCAGAAGGATGCTGTATGTCAAGGACTTCGTGCTGTGGTCACAGAAGTTTTGGTTCTCAGACAGTATTTGATATCATGAAGAATCCTCAGCTTAATCTATTTCCATTTGCAATAAATTACGATGCAAATAGTGACAACTACCACAAACAATTAGAAATTAACTAATACTTGGATTGTAGGTGTTGTTGATGTCTCAACTATTTAGTTGGGAGATGTCAACATAATCTTAACAACCAAACCAGAAATCAATATTTTTACAGACACTTACACAAGCGCATGTCCCTGGGTGTATGAAATCAGACATATAGATTTTCTTTGGTCTCCACAATAAGACCAGCAGCGATCTGGATGAAACGAGAATTGTAATACAGGAAATGAGGTACTCTGCAATGTATGAGGAAAGATATAAAGAGCTTGCACAACCCAGATAGGGTTGCCACATTAATGCTTTTTAGTAGACTTCCTTTTAAGCTACAGAGTTAATGGTCAAGATCAGACCAGGTTTAATTGGCAGAGGAGACAGAAGAAACCCTAGAATATGTCAGAGTTCCTTGAATTTATCCTCTGGGGAATTTAAAAAAGTAGGTGAGCCACAGATTAAAGCAGAGACTAGCAATTCTTAAAAATAATCATAGGACAATATTAGCGTGACACAAATAGTAAACATTGGAGAGAAGTGTCTGAATTTATACAATATTTTCCATTGCAAGATAAATCTCACTGTACTCAGAGAAGTCAGGTTCAGCTCACAGGATAAGAGCTTTCCTCTTGATTCATGCATTCCAATTAACAACGGTAATAAATACACTTTGCACAATCCCCTTAATTGTTGAAGTAGTTAGAGACATTATTACAGCAGAGCAAACAGTTTCCATCTCTTGTAAAACACTGCCTGTTCAGCTCATACAGAGATCCACGAAGCACCAATTAACTGGTATCTGGTTAATCTTTTGGAATTTTACTGTGAGCAAGAAGTGTATGAATATGATACTGGAAGATTTATTTCTGGTATTGTTCAGGAAGATGCATATCTTGGAAATGTCACTGATGAATCATGCAATGGCAGCCACCTTTTCACAATTTCTAATGAAAAGTAATTGTCTATGTATGGATTGGGGATAGGAAAAATTAGAACGTGTTCCATAGGACTGGCTTTTTCTTCTCATAAAGTTGTTGCTATTATTTTTTGAAGCAAGAGCTTTGATTTTGGTGTGACATAACAGGTACTTAGACTGCCACCATGCCTCATTATCCTCACTCATCTCTCTGCATGCTGAAATGTGTCTTCTGGTGCCCTCATCAACACCAGTCCTAATTTGGATCAAATTTCAAAATGTAAAGATTTGTAATGTGATAGCACATTCAGAAAATAAAGAAAAAACCCAAACAACCAAAAACCCCAACATGTTAGAGATGGACATATAGAAAGCCTGTGCATCTGAACTCCCTTCCAACCTGAGAGCCAGGGTTCCCATCTCATGGAGACATGGAGATGTAAAGGTTAGTCCATGACCCAGAGTGAAATGAGGTTAAGGTGCTTATCTAAACATAAGTGTGGGGAAGCAGTCCCAATCCTGACAATTTAAATTTAACCTGTCTCCTGTCTAAAAGCAAAAGAATACGCAACTGTAATCCTGGAATTTCATTTTGGGATTATATCCAGAGAGAAAAATCTTGGAAGAATTTCAACTTTTTACCCACATCCTACTGATATTATAGTTTTGTGTTTGACAAGTGTTAACCATTTGTTGACTGCTAGTGTGTTATCTACCACAACTAAATTGGAGGACTTGCAAAACAATCCAAGAACACAAGAATGAATATTACCGTGATGGTAAACATTCAATTTCCTAATAAAAGGAGACAAGGAGGTGATAATAACTTATTATTGTTTGCTCATACTGTGTGACAGAAAAAAATAAAGAAAAATGTTTTATTTCAAGTTGGAGGAAGAACACTGCTTTACAGGCAATCATTTAATTCCAGCGGAGTAAGTGACTACAAGAGCCTCATGACATTTGTTCACCGTCATGAGCTCCTTAGCAAATAAACTTTTTACAGCCCATAGTAAATTGCACACAGCATTTATAACACATTGTATCATAAAGTCCAGCTCTGATTGAAATCTCTGAGCACTGGCATAAGACAGTGACATACTACTACTACTAAGATCCTTATAATAAAATAACTGAATAAAACAAAGCATGGGACAATACTTCTTATATAAGATGCAGAAACAGGCCTACAAAAGAAAACTTGCAAAGAAAATTGTATAGGAGAGCCATCAATATCTGGGTTTAAGAAACATGCCCAGAAGCAGCGTTCTTGGCTCTATTACTGGCTGTTTGCATCTGTGACACTTTCCAAAATGGTTTATCAAGTGTTCCTCACATTCTTGACAAGATATAGAAGGCTTGTGAACCTTAATAAAATATCCTGTATCTGGTAAAAAACAATAAATTATGCTGCCATTTAACACATTCCTGACTTTATATTGTACAAAGAAATAATGTTGCAAAATATCTCAAAAATGTGTGTGAAAGGGTGATAATCTATTTTACCATTAATTTACAAGTTGTCATGCTGCTGTCATTATTGTACTGGAGATAATGCACTGTTAATTTAGTACAACACAATTTTTTTTTTTTCTTTTCAGAAAGACATTGTCAAAATAGAAGACCCATCAGACACAACTAATGGAAAGAGTCCTCTGAAATACTTGCAAGAGGTCAAGAGGATCAAACAATGTAACACAGACGAAAAGGAAGAGGTAACTACAATGTTAAGGACGTAAGAAAGCACATACACCCCAAAAGGAAGGAGCAGGCGATAGCAACAAACTAATGACAATTATCAGTTGTTCCTTGCCATGAACAAAAAGAGTTTAATATACACCTTCATTAACTCAAGACAGTATTTGTAAAGATGAGTTTATGGTTTATACCATACAAAGTATGAAAGGAAATGTGTTCATTTCCCAAGTAATAGCTGGATGCTACCTGCACCACTTCCTCTCATTTCCTCCTTTCATTCCTCTCTTGTTTATGTCTTCCACTGCCTAAGAGGACCACCTTCCATACACTGGAGATGGATATAGTTCCCTCCCAAATCCACTTTTCCACAGAGCCTTACCAAAACCTTGCCCCATATCAGTTTAAGAGACCAGAAGATTGCTCATCTTTCCCCTTCCTAAATTCAGTTCATGAAGGAACTAGCTTCTCACCTCTACTTATGCCTTCCTCAGCCCCAGACAAAGGGCTACTCAAAGCTTTCTCTACTGTTCCTAGGGATGAATATTGTGTTAGCTGGGTCAAAAATAAAGGCTTTTGTTTTCATATTCATATCAACATTGTGAATTATCACTGTCTGCAGCCATAGTTACATCCTTATCTGATCTTTGTTACTACAACTGGAAGAGCTCCTCTGGGCTGAGTTTGTTTCGTTGTGTATTGCACAGCATCAGTCAGAAAGCTTAAGTTATAAGGTATAATAAACATTGCTCTTCAGGGAAAGCTTTTCAATGAAAGCATATTGACCCTCAGTTTTTGGTTTCAATAGCATATGTATTTTTCTTGCTCTTGTTAAAATAAATAAAGAGTTTTAAGCATGAATGAATAATTTAAACTTCTTAGTTTGTCATTTTCATGGAGGTTTCCCTCGCACTCAGCTGAAGACCTGTAAAAATTTCAGTGATCATACACAACACCTAGAAGAAAAATCTCTAATTACATCAGTCAGAGGAATAGACCTTGGTAACCTGCATTGCCCAGGGGACATGATGACATTTTATGTTTTGAAAAACCCAGCGTTGAATCACCAGGAGGACTGCAACTTAAATGTCTTTTTCTTGTTAAGCAACAGAAGTAAGGGTGAGGAAAAAGCTAATGATGTCAGGAAGTTGATAGAAAAAGCAAATCATAAGCAAGCTAAGGTGTGTTCAATATTCCCCTTTTTAGGTTACCAGCGATAAAGTTAAATGTCTGGATCACAGGGTACAACAAAAAAAGGTGCATGTACAGAAAAAGGCAAGCCCAAAGTGTTTTTCAAAGATGTAGTAAACCCAATTTTAGCACATGAGGTCTGGGAAGATCAGACATCTCAAGAAACAACTTTGCGGTCCATTCAGGGACTTGCAGAGATATAACCGCTCCTTGCTCACATGCATGGACAGTCTTTCACAACGTCAGAAGTCACCTTACCACCACTCTTACTGCTTGTCACAAACACTTTGGAAGACCACTTATCCATATCCTAGTGTCATGAGACTATAAAATAGCCACTGACCAGTATCTACTTTCCAGGAATCTGCTACTGATGTTGGTTGGTAGACCTTCCCTGATCATGCCATTTCCTGCTATTCAGAGACTCACTACATCCAAAGGAATGGAGTTTTTTCCTGAGTCAGACACTCAATGATCACACTTTCTATAAAACAAGATTAAAGAAAGATAATGCATTTGGTTTACTTTATTAAGGAAAAGGTTAAAATATTACAATAAAATGAGACACAAAGTTGCAAAATTATAGAATAATTCTCAAGCTTGCGTTTGACAATATACTCTCCATGATTGGTCCAGTTTCTCAACGGATTTAGGAGAGTTTCCTTTCCTCTTTCTCTTCCTCCAGGGATGCTTTATCCTAAAGTCTGTCTAGCTACTCTGTTGTTAAAATTGGAATTGCTTTTCATGTGTTTCTTAACAAGCCCGAAGGGTTAGAAAACTGCTTCTCACCTCTTTCCCCAAACCATAGCTGCGAGAACAGCTCTCTTATTTTCCATGTCCATTACACTTTATGGTAAGTGTATTCCTTTCCACACAGCTGGATTTTCCTTTTCACAAAGTTGTCAACGACTACAGTGAAACTTCATGCAAAGTGATCATTGCACTAGGCTCAGCACTTACAATTTGTGCTTAGCTTCACCCAGAGAATAAGTACACATTTCTAACACAGGTGCCAGGCTTGTACATTGGAGCATATTTTCTGAGTCAACTTCTCTTATTCTATCTTCTGTTAGATTTCAGATATCCCGCTATCACCACCAGTTATCCATTTCATGACCCCAGTTCAGAACTATCATTCTTAAAAGTTGTCCTTATTCATGACAGCCTTTTTAGCATCACCTGGTGCTAAGATTGCTTATAGACTACCAAGATTAAAGATAAGCACAATCCTTATGATGGATGCTTATTACGAGTTGAACTATTTTACTTAATCACAGTCCATGTAGATAAAAGTGCATGAAACAGAACCCATCTCTTCATTTTCCCTACCATTCCAACTCTCTTCCTTCACTATCCCCAAATCATGAAAAAAGCACTCAGGAGTGAATGCAATAAAAATAACATTATTTAAAAGAAGATACATCTATAGTGCTAAAAAATACCTTCAGCTTCTTACAGTGCAGTGGTGGACTGAATAAAGGAGACATGTTGAAGAGTTAAATCACCTTCTAAAATGCCAAAAAAAAAAAAAAAAAAAAAAAATTGAATAACATGTAGTTTTCTTAAATGTGCTTTTTATTGTGGGAACAGTGGGCACTGAATCGAGTTAGTAACTACCATCTAGGATAGGACTGAGTTTCAATGTCAATGTCTACATATGCCTAAATGCCTCAGTGCCTAAATCATAGAATCATTTAGGTTAGAAAAGACCTTTAGGATCATGGAGTCCAACCATAAACCTAACACTGCCAAGTCCCATTAAATGTCGATGTCTACGTCTGTGCTGCTCTCTACTGTCTCACAACAGACAAAGATCTGGTCAGCATAGTCACTGGAGCCT